TGGTATGACAATGCTTAATAATTATCAAACTCTAGATATTTACCCATGCTCAACTCCTTGAATGTTTGCTGATTGGTCAAGATCTTTGTCAGTACAGTTCTCATTGCGCCTCCCATCTTCGTGAGCTCCTCCAGGAAGGAGATCTGAGGTTCCAGCTGCTGCAGGACTTTCTGTAGATCTCTCTCAGTTGAGGTGTCTGGTAAAGCAAGATAAGAGATAAGCCATCAGACTCGGTACTTGTGAACATAACTTTGGATGTCAACAGTTGTATAACACCGGTATCGGGCTTGAACAGCAGAGTCTGTTTTGATACACACCAGGAGGTGTGCGTAATATATGAAATAACAAAGTAAACAAAAGAATATGAGACCCTTTGGATACAAGGTTTCTGAAAGATACACTAAGCTTTTCATAGTTACAGCTTTTGTTCAAGATGTTCAGTGGGACAAAGTATACATTAACCCACCTGGTTCAATGTATCCATCCCTCAGATACTGTATGATACACAGAATAAAGCGAGGAAGAACCATCTCGGACATCAAGAGAAGGTCTCGAGGTATTGAGGGGATATTCTCCCCTGTTCTCAGCCGATGTCGTCTGCAAAACCTGTCAGAAAAAAAACAAAAAACAAATGTTGATGTTGCAGACCTTGGGTAAAGATAACAGCAGCCAGCTCTCTCTCTTACATTTATTCATACATTTTTGTTTGAATTCTTAGAGAGCTTAGGTGACACTGAGTTCAATACCAGTAATGGCTCCATAATGGTCCTGCCAAACCAGAAGGTCCTGTTTGGATTCTTTTTATTCTTATTTTTTGTTGCATTTTATAGATGTAGTAACTGTGTTTAAAGCAAGGTACAGAGTTGTATATTGGGTTGGGTAGAGTTGGGTTAAGGTTTGAAGATGGTTGGGATTAGGTGAGCATTCCAGGGTAAGAATCTAGTAGTTGTTTTTTTGTCTCTGCCCATACAAATAATGTGATCCATAGCAACACACAACCGACTACGACTCTTGCTCATGTTGCTCAAGATTGTTTGACAGAGACTAATCTGTCAGCAGCAAAGACAGCTGCTTGATGGTGACACAATCTAATGTCGTAATATTTTGATACTCAAGAATAATATCAAAACTGTGGCAACAATCTGTGTATACAATTATACATCATGGTTACTAAGAGGAAACTATTATTTGAGTAATAATAGCAAAAAATTAACAGCTGTACTTTTGTCTTTAACAGTGGTAAAAAGAGTACACATTTATATAGCGATAACTGAACCCCCAGACCATATTTACGCAGTCATATATCAGCTATATATAGATATAGAGACCTCCAGCTACAGCTACTGTCGGTATAATTGTTGCTATGGTTAGGCTAACCCTCTGAGCAGAGCTGCTTAGTGAAGGGTCTCCTATTTAAAAATGACAGGAGCGTTGTAATATTCAAACCTGTTGCTGACTGGCAGTAATATATAAACAAATCTCATACAGAATTATCTGAAAGCTCAAACAGACTATGCGGACCAGGAAATGTTACTAGCTAAGTTTAGGTCACCTCCCACCAAGACCTCACTCCATACCCACAGTGTCCTGACAGCTGAACCTCCAGTCACCAATCTGTCAAGCTCCTGAAGTTCACAGATGACACTACAATCATTGGACTCATCTCTGGTGGGATGAGTCCACCCACAGGTGGGAGACTGACCATCTGGTGACATGGTGCAGACACAACAACAGTGCTCGAAAGACAATGGAGATGGTTGTGGATTCCCTTGAAGAATACAGCCCCACCCATGCCCATCACTCTTTCCACTTCCTGGGCACCATCATGACCCAGGACCTCAACTGGGAGGTCGATATCAGCTGCCACTTAAAAGCACAACTGAGGATGTACTTCCTGCGGCAACCTGCCACAGACAATGATGGTTTCACTTCTACACTGCTGCTGAGTCCATCCTCGCCTCTACCATCACCATCTGGTACGCTGCTGCCACTGCCAAGGACAAGGGCAGACCTCAGCGTGTCATTTGCTCCGTTGCGAGGGTGATTGTCTGCAATCTGTTGTCCCTCCAGGACCTGTACAGTTCCAGGACCCTGACACGGGCAGTAACGTTTGTGGTAGACCCCTCCCAGTCTGGACACAAACTTTCCTCTCTGGCAGGACGCTGAGGTCCATTGAGACCCAGACCTCACCAAACAGTTTCGTTCTATCTGTCCTATCCCAGCCAAACCATTAGACACTACATGTCACATTAACGTCATCATCCATCTCTACACTTTATACTAACGTCTTCATCTGTCTCTACAAATTATACTGACTTCTTAATCTGTCTCTACACCTTGTATTGACATCTTGATCTGTCTTTTCGCCTTATATTAATGTCTTTATCTATCTCTACACCTTATATTAGTGTCTTAATCTGTCTCTACACCTTTAATGTCTTGATCAGTCTCTACATCTTATACTAATGTCTTCATCTGTCTACACCTTACATTAATGTCTTCATCTGTCTCTACACCTTATATTAACGTCTTCATCTGTCTCTGCTCCCTATATCAACGTCTCCATCGGTCTCCACGTTACATTAGCGTCATTCAACTCTCTACACGTTACATTAACGTCTTCAACTGTCTCTCCACGTTACATGAACGTCTTCATCAGTCTCTGACATTTCCATTAACGTCTTCATCTGTCTCTACACGTTACATTAACTATTCAACTCTCTACACGTTACATTAACGTCTTCAACTGTCTCTCCACGTTACATGAACGTCTTCATCAGTCTCTGACATTTCCATTAACGTCTTCATCTGTCTCTACACGTTACATTAACGTCTTCATCTGTGTCTGTGCCTCTCTCTAAGCCTGACATTAAAGCACATCACTTAAGCTGTGACTAACATAGCACACCCTGTTTGAATACTTTATAATGTAAACTTTTACATGTTACTTGGACAGAAAATTGCACATTTATGCACATAACTACATAACTTTCACTTCTAAAAACTGCACAGCGCTTTCATGTTTTGTTCAGACATATTGTCCATATCTTCATATTATTTTATTATATTTTATTGCGATTTTGTCTTCTCTTTATTTCTGTCTCTTGATTTTATCAATACTTGCTTTTATTGCTCATTTAATTTTCTCTTGGTATGTTTTATTTTTGTTGTCTTATGTACCAATGTTCCAAAGAATATTCCCTGTATGTGAAAACCAAGCTGCTTGGCAGTAAACCGGATTCTAAATCTGACCTGTCAAAACAATACTAGCCGTTAGTTAGCTTAGCCATCTTAGCTAGCAACTAGCTAGCTTGGACTTACCCACTCTCTCGCATGACATTACTGTCTCCACAGTCACAGGCCCCACCAGCCTGGCTCCTGAACATGTTGAAATCATGGCCCGTGTGGTCTCCGTTATTAAAACACTCAGCACACAATGACATGCACGGAGAGATGCCACAGGTCCGGCATCGATACGCCACGAAATTAGCCGTCCAAACCAAGCCGCACAGAGTCGCGTTGTCATAGGACCGGACCGTTTTGCAGAACTCCTCGAAACCTTCGCCTCCTGCAATGAGACATTTACACCAGTCGAGAGCTTCTGTGTCCGCCGCTGGTTTTTCGGGATTTAGCACAGCGTCGAGCAGCTCCTGAAGTTGTCGCACCCCGGAGCTATTGTCAGTCCGATTTAAGTCTGCCTTCAAGTGGGCGGCAGTGGCTTTCTTGTCCCGGCGCAGCAGCGACGCCGCCATCATGCACTCTGGCTTGTTGTCCACAAATTTATTTTTGTTGTCTTGTTTCCATGTTCTCGGGTTTTCTCGCGACACAACTCGTTACGTCGTAGACGCTGGTGGAAGAATTTCCAAACGCACTTTACCCTCAGTACACGCAGAAATTTAAAAAAGACATAAAACAAAAAAAAGCTCTGTTTGAATATTTAGAAACAGGTTCACAATTAAAATTAAATCTAATTTAAAAGACTTTACATTATTGTGTAGAAATGTGGTGTTTGGTTTCTTAAAAATCCAAAAAAAGACAAATATTTTTTATAATATTCAATATTCTTTTTTTATTATTTTTTTTTTTATATATATAATTATATTTCATTTGTATGAATTTGTTGTTTTTCCTAAGGATGAGCAATATGTTAAACTAGTTTCTACATAAACTAACAAAAATGCTACCAAGACACTTGACGTCTGAATGTTTTAGAATATATATATATTTTTACCTCTGGCTCTATTGTCACTGTTTTATTTGTATACAATCCCCCGTACACTGATTCTACATTACGTACTTTTGTGTAAGAACAATTAAAAACAAAACGTGTTCAATGTGCAATGACTAATTTAAGTATTTGAGCTTATCAAACTTTGTAGGACTATAAGTATTTGATCCAGCAGAGCATTAGCTCAGTTCATGCACTGTCATTCGTGCTGTTTTGTTTTCTTGTTTCTAGGTAACCAAAAGCATAACTATGACTGTCCGCCCCCCACTGCGCTCATGCAAAACAATGCAATGTGAAGAGGGCCTTAGCATGAATGAGTTTAGCATTTAGTAAATAAATTAGCAAGTTGAATAATCCCCCTTTATTACATTTTTTTATGAGACACTTTATTTCATGTTGTACATAAATAGCATTTCTTTTTTATTCATTATTATATTTTATTATAGTTGAATTTATTGTATATTTATTATTAAATTAAATTTAATTAAATTTAATTTAATTTAATTTTATTTAATTTTATTTAATTTTATTTAATTTTATTCAATTTTATTTTATTATCTGGCGATCGCGTAATCAGTTTGTAACAGACTGTAATGACAGACTGTAATGAACTAACTGATATCCTAAAATTCCTTTTTCAACTTTTGCATACAAAATTAAATAATAAATTAATAAAACAATTTAACAAAACAAACCAAAAAGAAAAAAATGCATGAAGGACTACTATCACGCGTTCCGGGGTAGAAGTCGGATTGTTTTGGTTGATGCACACATCTTACCGGAAGTACTATCCATGCTCAGAATACACACTCACAGCGACTTTAGCTGAAAAATAACCGTTTGTAATTAATTATCGGGGTTGTCGCTCAGGTGTCACACAGGTTTGGGACGCAACAGTCGCTAATAATGAAACTTAAAGAGTTAGAGAGCTGTCTGCAGCAAGTGGACGTGTTTGAAGAGCCAAAAATCCTTCTGGAGCAATATCCAACCAGTCCTCATATTGCTGGTGAGGACAACGTGTGATAATAGAGTTTGTTAATAGTACAAATTGTTGTCATTAACTTTATTTTTTCCTACAGCATGCATGCTTTATACAATCCAGAGCACGTTTGATGACATTGAGGGTAAACTAGTGGCAGATCTGGGATGTGGCTGTGGAGTCCTCAGCATCGGGGCTGCAATGCTTGATGCAGGGTGAGAGCATCTGTCCGTCCTCAATACACTGGTTTCAACACAATAAACAGCTGTACCTTTAAATGAGCTTCTATTCTCATTCTGTTTTTCAGTTTGTGTGTTGGCTTTGACATTGACGATGACGCGCTGGACATCTTCAGAAGGAACGCAGAGGAATTTGAGATTTCTAACGTGGACTTGGTCCAGTGTGACCTGTGCTCTCTGGAAGCAGAGGCTTATGCCAATAAGTTTGACACTGTAATAATGAATCCACCATTTGGGACAAAACACAACCAAGGTGAGTATAATTAAAGGGCTACTCCTGTGATTTAGTATCATTCTTCTGTGAAGTTGGGCTACTTTCAAAAGAGCAGAAGCCAAGGTACTCTGGCTTTAAGTTCAGTTGTATGGGTCAAGATACAAAAACTCTCCTCAATCCCCATAATGCTACCCAACAGCATCTTTCTGTATCCCTCCTTGCCTTGTAAACAGCCATGTCTCTTAAACTCCACATCCCCATATCTAACACAGGCTTTCTGTTTAAAAAAAAAACTCTCAATCCCAATTCTAGGTAGTCCTAATACATCAGGGATTACTTTCCCAATACTTAATCCCACATTCAGGTCATGTGATATAATGGGAGAGATGATAAGGATTCCCAAAATACCCACTGATGAACTTTCTGCTACACCTCATTGTCTTCCTCGGTGGATAATGTTTGCAGAGTTTTTAATTTGGGTTAAAATACATTAGAATCGTGGCACAATTTCCACTGAATTTGGGTTTACTTACATTGAACAATTAACTGGCAGAGGTGAGTAAAGATGTCCAAATTTGTTTGGTTTTCAGGCTTTTCAGTATTGTCTTGCACAAAGTCTGAGCTTTCTGAGAAATACAGCTTCTAGTAATCACCATGTTGGATTTTAGTATTTATAAGCCTGAAGCTCAAGATAGTTGAACATGACATTAGAAGGCTCCTTCTGAAGCCACAAGACATTTCAGTCCTGTCTACAAGTACACAGATATTTTTTGAAACAATGTTTTTTCCCCTTCATCTAAACAAATAATTCTGTCCACATGACCTTCAAGTTACTAAAATATGTCCACACTAAAACATCTCAAAATTCTCACATGCATGCATTGTGCACACAGACATTATTGCTGCTGCAGAGCTGCTTCTTGTCCATGTTAACAGTTTTAGGTCACTAAAATGGAGATTGTGTCTATGCTGCAGATTTTTTTAAAACTCTTATCACTGTGTATCTGTCTGCACGTTTACAACGCAGAGTTTGGGAAACAATGACGTACTCTTCTCAAATTTCATATGCCCATTGTTGCTTTGAGAATTATTTTATAACACAGAGAGGAAAAAATATCCTTACACGTGTAGACAGGGCCTTATAAACAGTTTTCCCAGGGTGAATAGTTGTGCTTGTGACATGCATACTTATCTCCATGTGTAAAAATCCCTTTAAATGAGTGTCACACCATGGAGTTACATGTAGTTTTACATGTTTGTATTCTTTATTCAAGGCATGGACATGAAGTTCTTACAGGCTGCTTTAACAATGGCAAAGACAGCAGTGTATTCACTCCATAAAACATCAACACGAGAGGTAAGTTCAGTTTTTACAGCACTGTGATGTCAGACAGAGCTGTCAGGGGAAGTCCAGGTCAGGTCTGATGGCTTACCATAAAACAGTGATTTTACATGTCTCTAGCCATGTCCTTTCAATGCAAAGGTCACAACTCGAGGCATACTTTTACTATCAAGCCTTAAGTTACATCTCAAGTCCTCACTTTTTATGGCTGTGACTCAAGTGTCATGTCTATATCTGTAGTATGAAGACTTTAAATGCTTGATGTTCATTTCCTTATGTGATTACAGCACATACAAAAGAAGGCTAATGACTGGGGAGTGAAGATGGAAGTAATAGCAGGTAAGAAGGAGTAGAGTCAGGGTACAAAATTAGCACCGTCCACTAGCCCAGTGGTTTTCAAACTGCGGAGAAGCGTGAATAACCAGGGGAAAATATGGAGTGAAACAAAGTCGAATTAATTTGATTTATGTAGAGAAAATAAACACGAGTTTGCTGATGCTATTATGCTGACCTTTATTTTAATGGTAATCTATTGAGTGGCTGGTAAATTTGAAAATTCACTATCCATTTGGCTTGTGGACAAAGAGGCTAATTTTGTACCCTAAATCCAGCGCATCTTCATTGTGACAAATATTCAAACACTGACACCATAACTCTCTTTACAGAACTAAGATACGACCTGCCAGCATCTTACAAGTTCCATAAAAAGAAATCGGTAAGCTAACACACTGTCACACTGCAGTCTCAGGATATAAAGGTTGTTCACGCAGATGTCTCAAGATATAATTGACAAACACATTCACACAGAACTCGTTTTATTTGCTATTCACATATGCAAACTTAAAAAAAAAATAGCAAAGCAGGTGTTCTCATCACTCACTGTTAGAAATCTACAAGGAAAAAGAACATGGCACCAGATTCTAGATGTCCCGCTGGTCTTACAAAACTTAAATGTTCGGTTGTAATTAAATTACAGTCAGAGAAGATTTATGTTGAATATGATAAAACCAAAAGCATCATAAGAGGAGAAATAAAGGTACACAAATAATGTAAGAGGCACGATAAACAGGGACTTAAAAGTCTGACACCGAGCTTTGCAAATTGTTCTCTAGGTTGACATCCAGGTGGACTTCCTACGATTCTCCAAAGCCTGAAGCTTTCACTGGAATGGATTTAAGTTGCCTCTGCATTTTTCGCTGTTTATAATAAATGTTTTCAAAAAAGAAAGACTCTGGGTGTGAACTCGTGACTAAGATCCGTTTTCGGTTTTGGCGACCTTCGCTGCAGGGCCATCAGCATCTTCTAGTTCTCTCTTTGGGGCTGCAGGTGCTGGAGGAAAAGCACAAAGTAGGTACAATATAATTAACCATGTTAGAGTAGATAACTATCTAGCCAAAAAGTACATTTTGAAGCTCCAAAAGATGCAGAACCTACCATCATCATCCTCATCATCACTTTCAAACTTCGTCTTTTTGCCTTTGAACTGAGTTCTGCCATGATCTCTGCCTCCTCGTCCCCTTCGGCCTCCTCTTCCTCCTCTGCCTCCTGATCTTCCTCTGCCACCTTTTAGGACACACAAGACACATCAATACAAAACCATAAATGGATTTAATTATTGATGATTAACAAAAATGCTTTAGACGAGCACAGTGGCAAATCAAACTGTGCCTATTCAGGATGGGCAAACTATGTGGCCTGCAGTGTTGAAGCTCTATCAAGAACCCCTCATCCAAAGAATTTCACACTCGCCATGCAGCAGGTGTGACAGTTATATCCTTTGGCAATGCTAGAGTATACTCATCATTTGGGTGCAGCAATTCCTACAGACACTTTATGGTATCAACAAAGTCAAAGCTCGACTATTTCCAGGAACAAAAGCATTCTTTCCGAAATGTATATCTCTGATGCTTGATCACTGATAAATTGTTCCTGCCAGGTTCCCGCTGGGCCCACAAGCTTCACAAAATGATGTCATCACACATTTTTTAATCGTTTTCCTTGGCTCAAGGAAAGTTTTACATATAAAAGAACTTCCATGGAGTCAAAATTAACCTTGTCTGCATTTGGAGGTGTGCTGTCACCAGTTTTACAGACCTATCTTTTTTAATGGGGGTCTATGGGGAAATAGCTTCTGGGGAATTATTTTGGCTGCAAAACTGGGCAGCCACTGGGAAAAATTGTAAGCAAGGCTGAAAGGTGGCGCCATATACAGCTCTGCACAATCAACAGACAGAGACTCTTTCCATTTCAGTCAGATCAGCTGCTAGTTTGAAAACAGTATTTACCTCTGCCTTTGGACCTGTTGAATGATTCTTGTTGGGCTTCGATGATCTTCTTCATGTGTTCTTTCTCCTCGTCTCCCTCAAGCACCTGCCATGTAACAGTGTTGTTCTTGATTTTCAATTCCCCTTCGCATGCCTCTTTGGCCTTGTCGAACGCTTCCTTTGCATTCCCACTGAAGAGGAGGGTGCCCTTGTTGAAAGTTAAAAAAAAAAAAAAAAAAAAAAATCATTTTAACTACACTGCATCTCTTTACCTTGAGAGTGTGAGACTTGAGTGGTGGAGAGTTTCCTCACCTCTTTGGCTCCTCTTGTGAAATTAACCCACTTGATCTTTCCATGGCCAGAGAACAAGTCATGGAAGTCCTCTCTGGAAACATCTTCAAGCTCTCCTGAAAACTTCAACAGGCAACCAGTCTGTTCATCCAAAAGCAGACCCTGTAACACAAATGAGAAATTATTATTATTATTATTATTATTACTGTGTCCAGAGCCCATCCACATAAGAACGTGAGCTTGCACATGGGATCTTACCATTTCTTTCTCTTCTGCATTTTTCTGCTGTTGTTCCTTGTCCCTAAAAATATTTTTTGAGAGGAGGGTCAGTAAATTTTAACATGTACAGCATGTTTTAGCACAGAAAATTATTGTTTGTGTACTCACTGTTTAGCTTTTGCTTTTGTCTCTGCTTTGAACTGTTTTCTCTCTTCTGCTTTCTTTGCATGGTAGTCTTCTCTGAAAGCAGAGCAGCAATGACACGATTATTATATGCAGTCATGTTCAAAAGTTTGTGTCCTGGATGAATTAAATGTTTTTATTTTCTGAATGGAAACTGCAGGAAAACTTGAACTTTTTAAAGTGGTGTATCAATTTGCTTTATTTCTGAAAAAGCATTCAACAACTTTCAATCTTTTGTTGCCCATGTCCAAACTTTTTTGTAATGTGTTGCAGGCATCAAATTCAGAATAAGTGCATATTTACTAAAAAGAAAGTTTATGAGTTTGAACATTTTATATCTTGTCTTTGTGCTGTATTCAATTGAATATAGGTCAAGACAGATGAGCAAATTCTTGCATTGTTTTTATTAACGTGTTACACTGCATCTCAACTTTTTGGAATTGTGGTTGTACATTAAGCGTAATAACTGTATAAAATCTCCAACAGTATGTTACACTCATGTTTGTTCTCCTTTTCACTGTTTATTCATTGTATTTCTCAATCACAGCATTTTCCACTGTAGATATATTTAAATTAAGAAGCAGGGCAGCTCACCTTGATAACACAAGCATCTCATTGTCTTTGAAAGACTTTATGTCTGAGCGTTCTAGGAACTGCTTGGATGACTCTTCTGTGTCAAAGCAGATAAACACCGATCCCTGCAGAAGAATAGAATAAGTTATTAAAAAAACTCCCCAAATTCACTGCAAAAACAAACTGGAATTTTGACATGATATATTTAATTCACCTTGAACTGCCTTTGCAGGTTTCTTCTCATCTGAATGTTTTCTATGTTGCCTTTTCCACTCAGCCAATCCTGAATCGCATCAAGGGAAGTGTCGAGAGGAAAACCTTTCTAGATGACAAAATATATCAGAATGTGAGTAAAAGAACAGTAGAACCAAGGTAGAGACTAAAATCAGATTATGTACAGTGGAATGTTTTTTCCAACACATTACAAAAATGTAACAGCATTTAAGTCAAAATACAGAGAGCACATGTTTGGTGGGAAACACCTAATCTGTAGTTCTATATAATGTATATACAGTCAGTATATTAGGGACACCTAGGTAAAGCTAATGCCTTCTGATTCAATGCTCCTGCAATATATTTTACCCTAAAGTTTATAATGTTCAGTTTTTGTTGAAACTGTTGTAGAGAAGTGTTGCTAAACTGAGGATGTAGTGATGTTTCTATTATTTGTCCACCCCATTATGTACGAGCGAAGGCTAAAAGACAGAAACATCTCTCTGTTCAACAGAGCAACAAACTATGTCCTCCTAAACCATCCTAAAGTTGAATCAATACAGTTTCAAAGATACAAAGTTACACAGATAAATGTTTTTATCGAAATAAGGATTCAGAATCAGTCTGCATGCCACTTAAAAGCTTACCATGTACACAGATTTGTGTTTAAGTGCGTCTTTGTAGTCATCATTCATTTCAGGTAAGGGTTTGTCTGCAGACCTCCTGATTTTAGTCTTGTCTTCGCTCATTTCCAAGAGGCCAGTCTTTGATTTCTGGAGAGCTTCGACGATGACGCTGGGTTCTGTAGTTAAAGACTTCAGTCTGGGAAGGGAATACAGACATGTCAATAAATACTGTGACTAATGCTCTTTCAAGTAATTAGGCTTGATTAGAATGTAAAAGTGCTGACGCTCACTGACTTCCATCTACAGAAAACTCCAAATATATACACTTTTACCAGTTGGATTTTGCCAAAACATCAAAACGAAGGTGTCTAAGTCTAACGGTCCGACATGAAAACCTCTTTAATTCAGCAAAATATTACTTTGTTTATACAGTGTGCCTGTTTTGTGTGTGCATGCTGTGGTGAAATGTAATCTGCCTGGTAACAAGATCACTTAAGGGACAGGGTGAGGACATGTGCTAATCTTGCTCTACTTGTCATGAGTCATAATGGGTCCACAAACTCATTAGTCATTGTTGTCTTTCTCACACAAACCTCTAGCTTTTCTTTCCTTTGTCAATTTATTGAAATATTCTCCTAAACATGCCCTTTTTGCACTATCTTGTTAATGGAAGCTTTAGTATCTGACTCAGTCATGTTGTGCTGATGAGACCCCAGTCAGAGATGTCAAAACAAATACTTCCTTATCTGCTGTTAAAAAAGCACATGGATGGGTTGGATACAATTTTTACAGCAGCCTTCGAGATGTTAACAATCATTTGGCATGTGTCACCAGGGTAAAGTCCACATTGCTGTGAGATATGACACATTTTTTTTAGTGACAACCACTGTTGCCCAGCACAATAAAAACAAAGACACTAGTACTTAACTAGTGTAGGATGGGTTGCTTTTAGCACTCTGTGATCTCACACGCTCCCTTGACGTTAGGTGTGGTCAGATTGGCAGAGAGCTACCCAAACAGTGCGGTAACAGCAGAGTGACTGCAGGTAAACACTAACATTACCTACGGTGCAGGCACAGGTAGAGCCAGCTGCTGTTATTTGCTGGATTCATCTGCCAAATTTTGCCAAAGATCCTCCTGCACATGCATGTCCACACATGCAAAAGACAGCTTAAACGTCTAAAGCAGGGATGCTAAATGCGCTTTACCCAGGGGCCACTTATGCAAAATGACAGGAGGCCAGATAATAAACAAACCAAGCTTTGAGGAAAAAAATGCTGTGTTCTCTTAAGTGAATTGAAATTTTAATTGATGTGTTTAAAGACATATAGCCTTAATTATAGCAATCCAAAATGTTCTCCCAGGTCACTGTTGATTAGGAACTCAACTCTGAACCTTTTTGAGCTCACACAACGGAAAGCTATCAGTGAACGAATAACAGAATGTGAGTAATCATTTTTTAACAGCAGTTTAACAGAGACTGTGACACAGACCAGTTTAACAAACCTGTTGAATTTGAGCATCGTCTCCAAAGTCACCCAGCCATCATCAAGCTGCAGCTGTTCTTTGAGAAACTTGTCTCTTGGAAGATTGTGATCCCCAAAGTAGTACTAGAGGTGGAAAAGAGAGAGATTTGTTAGAGCTGAATTTGACTGACTTTCGTCATATATAATTCAAAATATAATACAAAAATATATAATAAAATCAGAATTACCTCTATTTGTCGTGCCACTTTCATCTCAATTGGAGACATCTCTTCTTGGTTTTCTGCCATGATTGTTCTGTGCAAAAACAGTAATCAAAAATTAGAAAAAGATCTTCATCTCAATTTAAAAAAAAAAAACATTATTCTTTGGTG